CAGAGCCCTGGTTTGCAGGTGACGCCGACGTTTCGCTGTGGCGGAGGCCGCCGAGCCTTCTGCTGGAGGCACGTTACTCTGAGCGGTGCTGTCTGCCTGCAGCGTCCCGAGGGAGAAACCCGGGTGGATTCGTAGCCTCTGGGGCAGCTGCTGCGTTTTCCCTTTGGGTGTTAGGCTGACAAGGGGTTTGGTAACGCATGGCAGAAGGACTAATGGTATGCGTTTCATCGGGGCAAAACGGCGGAAGGTGTCCTGGGTCATCCTGCGCCTGGGCAGGAGTCCTAAGGGTTCGCCTTGCAAGAAACAGATGAGGGCCAATTAGGTATATGGCCCTCTTAAGCCACAGAGGCACACTGCATTGGTTAGATAAATCAGTTTCTGAATCGCTGTTTCAGCTGTTGTCTTTTCCTTATGTAGAGAAAGTTCACCTGGTTCATTCTGCTTCTGTCCGAATTACCTGCATGACCACAGAATTCCTGTGAAAAGAAGCTCAATGTAGGTCTTTCTGCACTGGGCTTCTTCTAGAATTAGGGTGGCGCTCTGCATGTTCAGGAAAGTCCCTTAAATGTTTTGCAGTCTCTGAAAGAGAGGTAAGGATTTTCTTCCTTAACATAGGGGTTTTATTAGGCCTAAGTAAAAGCTGGTAAAGTCATTTGATATTGAATGTGAGGGAAGTGCAAAGTATCACCATAAATATAAACTTTTCACAGATCACTTGAAAACTATCACTGTGCCAAGTAGCCTGGGTTTAGAGAAATCAAGTCACTTCTTCCACTTCTGAGCTGGGAGAAGTTACAGGAAACTGTCAGTTTAAATAATACCTTCAGATGGTTATTTAGTGCAAATTTTCAGTACTAGATGACAAACTGTGGTTTTTTTTTCTCCTATGCTTCACTTTGTCTTGTAGACGTTCTTTCTTGAATGCGCCCTTTCTATCTTTTTATACTTGGAGGAGCTTCTTTCCTTTCTCTCTTCTCCGTTTCCAGCTGCAAATTCTTTACTCTTTCTGTCACCCCCTCATGCTTCCACGTTACTTTGATGGGGCTGCAGTATATCTGCGTTTTCCTAATGTGGCTGTCAGGAGTTCTTTGAAGAATGTGTGGGTTTTTCGGGACTCCGTGTGGATGAGTTACCAAATATGAGTGAACTTCTGGAATTTTTATGCATACATTTTTGTCTGATACATATTACTTTCACCAGTAGGTGGCTTTCTGTCCGTTTGTTTGCATTGTTAGTATCTCAAATCCCATCATGGAAAACACTCAAATTGAGGTGGCCTCAAAGTAGAAAGACTGAGGCATGCTTATAGTGTTTTGATCTCAAGCTATCTGAACAGAGAAAGATTCAGTTTGCCAAAAGCACAGTGAATAGTGAGAAGATTGGAACGTTCAAATTATGGACTCATTAATTGTCCGTCCTCAATAGCAAAATAATCTTATCTAACAAATTAAAATGCCTGTGCATAGAGATATACTGCACATAGTTAGCTTCCACCACACTGCCCTCCTCAAAAGACTCCCATTTTTTCTTTTTAAAAAAAAAAAATCCATAGTGTGTTAGCTATGTGCCTACCAAAAGGCTCAGAAATCATAAGGCAATAAGTACCTTATAGGCATAACGTGGTAATAGAGGTCGATGAATTTCTGGATGCAGGTGAAGTCTGAATTAAAGAAAGAATCAATAATATGTGGATCTGTGATTTGGTTCTCAGTTCAAAGCCTGCAGCTTGGCTGCACCCAAGCCCTCCAGGCCACAGCTATAAGAGGAGGATGTAAAACAATCCGTTTACCCCTTTGATTTGGGGTTGGCAGCTCACTCAGGCTATTGCAGAGACACATGACTCTGAATGGTGCTGTCTATCTGCTACTGCCGGACCTGGGGATTGCCCAGTGTTCACAGTAGCTGTTTCTGTGGCCATACCATTGAGTGATAGACCTACCTTTCCAGTAGCTTAGGGAGGCTGCTTTATCTCTGTGTGCCCACTACTTCTCTGGTATTGTTTGGATCCATTGTGTATGAGCAGGTTTGTACTGGGAGGCGGGTGAGCAGCTAGCCTAACTAACCCAAGAATTGTGTTAAGAATCTCAACTGGACCTTTCCTGACCTTTGTGGGAAGGGACTCAGATCGAGGATGGATACCAGTAATGTAAATCAGTCCATGATTTTCTGCGGAGTTCATCATCCTACTGTTATGAGTTCATGTTCTTTGTGCAATTGAGCTGCTCTGTAAGGCTTGCCAGCAGTTCATATGCTGTGTGGATAGTGTCCTGGAGCATTAGCATATTGACATTTCGATATGTCTGTGTTCCTGAGAACTTTTGACTTCAGTCCATGTCAGTTGGGGTAAGCCTGAGCTTCTGACCTGCCACAGATAAGGAGCTACTCCTTGCTGACGCCTCTTGGGCTTTTTATCTGAGTTTTTATTCCCCCTCACCCCATTTCTATTGGTTTAAGGTTCCTGGAACGTTCTTATAGAAGAGAAATACTGATGCACTTGTGCTTAATGTACTCTCTAGTGCACAATGCCTTCTAAATACCGCAATTTCCGAAACAGTGTGCCTTGGCTAATCTTTTTTTTGGAAGTTGTTTTTATCATCCTCTTTTACTTTTTGTTCTCAGATGGTGATACATCCGGATCAAAAATCTCCTACCCAGGTAAGATTGCTAGCCTGGCTGTGAAAGGAAGGGCTTAGTGTGTGCTTTTATTTTACAGCGCAATGGAGATGTGACTGGACAGCCTTGTGTATTTGTTACTATTCTTTAAGCACCCTACCTTGCCATATATTGTGTGTAGATATTGATATTAAGGCAAACACAGTGAACATGGGTGTGTGTGATGCTAAGTTGCATTGCTGATCCGTTTTCTCTTGCCTGTTTGTTGTATCTTGACTCCTATGAACATTGTAAACTTTGGAGAGGAGGCACTGTCTCTGTTAAGTGCCTAACCCTGTGAGGTCTTGGCCTGCAAAGGTGCTGTTGTGCTACCAAATAAGAATTCAGGACAGCAGTGTTTTCCATTTGGATCCTTAATGTACATAAGTGAAGTTAATGCATTGGAATTAATGGTTTAAATATAGCCAAGACATGTATTTTATGCACTGATCAAGGAACATATTAGCAGATCTTGCTACAGCCACGGCGTATGACATATTTACAGTGCTGTGAAAATATGAGCTGATTAATCCTCATGACATTCTTGTGTTACCCTTTCCATTTTATAGCTGGGAAAATGAGATCTATTTTAATATTTTGCTGGGTGTAGAGGCTTGCACAACCATAGGAGAATATGACTATTAGCATATCCCAAGGGGCAGTTCCAGGCCTACAGATCCAAGAGCTTATATCTTGGACAACCTCTTCCTTTTATGCAGGGTTGCATAAAGGTTTCCATATTGAACTCCTTTTGCTGCTATCTCTGCCCCTTTTCTCCTACCCAGATGAGTTACAAGAAGGCACTTGTATGATGTCCTCATTTCTTCCCTAACGCCTGCAAGGAATGAATCAGCAGTAGTTCACAATAACCTTTTCCTGAAAAGTCCAGCTTAAGCTCTTTAAATTCATCTCTCAGGAGAAATGTATGTTCTAATTTCATTGCTATAACCTCATCCTTCATTGCTGGTTGCTTTGTAAAATTAAGTTCAGGCTAAGGGTGTTGTCTTTCTGATTACTTATGGATCAGAAAGAAAGCTTTGGGATGCTTTAAACGTACTAAAAGATAATGGCACAAGAGGAGCTGTTTCTAACTCTGATCAGGCGATCATCTACGTGTGCAAATAACTAGATCTGGGAATAATCTTCAAGGGGATGACAGAGAGAGAGAGTTTTTTCAAGAATCTTCAGATGTTTTTGCCAAGATCTTTCCTCGGTATATTACAGACTATAAAACCGAACATGTACTTTGCTTTTAGCAATAACTTTTAATTTGTATATCACATAAACCAGACTGCTTCTGGCTAGACATGCTCTGAGTATGTCTGTGTGTGTGTGTGAGAGAGAGAGAGAGAGAGAGAGAGAGATGGGGTTCGGAATCAAAGCGGAGCATGGGCATTGTCTGTTTTGGTATGGAGACTTGAATGATATCCAGGGAAATGTTTCTTAGCAGAAAGAGCTGCGTTTGGAAGTGGTTCTGCATAACGGAATTTTACCTTGCATACTGCTCGTCCCCTCTTGATGGATTTCACTGAGGAGAAAGGTGCCAGGGCTTTTAAAGAGAGAGGAGAACAAAAAGTGTATATTATTGGCCCTGGACTTTTTTCCAGTTGCTCTAGTTTAAAGCTACGGTCATTGAAATGGATTTGGTTTTGTTACAGCGTTAGATTCTTTGCTTTTTTTTCAAACTGACTGCAGGAGATGAGTTTGAAAGCATTACCAAGCCCCTCACATGGTTGTTATTATCTGTCTCTCGTTGCGCTTTTAACAGCTTCATCTCTTTCTAAAAAATAGCTGTTATCTACTATTTTGCAAGTATTTACTTGTTAGCCCTTCCAGTGCCTTATAGGAATATAAATCTTGTCATTTTTCAATTGTGGACAGGAAAATTTGAGACATGGTAAGGTGAATAGCCCAAGGCTGCGTGGTGAGGCAGAGAAGAGAACAGATTTGGGAATTTTGGGGATTCAAGCTCTGACCTTAAGCCTGCAAGGGCACCCAAATTTTTATCTAAAGGCTTCTTAGTTAATTGTGGTTGTTTTATTTACCAGAAATACAGTCTGCTTTGATAACTTCACTGCTCTCTTGGTCTTCTCTGCCGTTCAGCCTTTCAAGATGTCAACCAAATGATGATTTTTGGACTTGGCTTTTTCCTGGCGTTCCTGAAAAGATATGGATTTAGCAGCGTTGGATTCAATCTCCTGATCATTGTACTTGGTGTCCAGTGGTCTGTGCTGACAGAAGCCGTGTTCCAAAGCACAAAGGAAGATGATCTGACAAGGTAAGCGGTCCATTTTAAAATAGGAATAATCTAGAGCTGCTGACCGACCGCTTTTTGTCAAGGCCTTCTGATACTAATCTATTTGCAAATTAGTACAGTTGTATTGGCAGACTTGTATTGGTGGGCTTTGGAGTTTTAAGTACCTTTTGCTGTCTGTCATTCTCGTGAGGCTAACCTGATCTGGATTTTTTCTTTTCCTCTTTTCTTTTATTACAGCATAACAAAGGCTGCTGTGAGTATGACTGCTGTGGTCATCTCCTCTTCAGCTGTTCTTGGGAAAGCTAATCCTATCCAACTGATTGTGATGACAGTTGTGGAAATAACAGCTTTCCGTTTGAGCAGATGGATCAACACGACGTTCCTGAAGGTACAGTCCTGTCATTTCCAGGCATGTGGGGAAAGGTTTCACTGGGACTTTGGAAATGCTGCCTTTTGATAGCTTGATGTTGATGCTATGCTGACAGGAACCCACCAGTGTATTTTATCTGATTCAAATTAGACTGTGGGGCTATGTTTTCACTAAGAGATGAAGTCTGACTTTGGGAGCACACTTAAGCACTGTAAACTCCAAAACTTGCAAGCTCTACATCTGCATAATTGGCTGTTTCTTGGGCTTAAAGGATGAGCTGATGGATTGGGTTGTAGTGCATATAGCCTTCCCCATGCCTTGACCATCCATTTTTATGAGCTTCATTGAGCCTAGATAAATTAATTAATGAGTCATGCTTAAACTGAGCTATGTCAAGACTTGCAACAAAGAGTTCCTGTGGCGTGAAATTAGTCACACATTTGATTTTCTATTGATACAGGTTGGAGACAGTGCCAGTATGATGCATGTTCACCTGTTCGGAGCCTTCTTTGGTCTGGCAGTCTCCTTGTGCTTCTCGAAGCCTTCACCAAACTCTGAGAAGGAAGCGAGTACCCAGAAGTCGGATTTATTGTCAATATTGGGTAAGGCATTCACTTCAGTGTCTCAGTTGGAAGGAAAGATTGCAGTGAGAGCGTGAGGAAGGCTTTTGAGGGTTGACCACAGTTCACTGAAACTTTTTCCTCTGAAGTGCAGGTCTCAATGCAGCCAAGCATAGAAAAACTGCTGCTGTTGGTGTGGTGGGTGGTTTCTGACAAAGAGTTGGTGAGTCTCAGCATGTTTCCTATCAATCAAGCACATAAGACCCCCCTACAACGGCCATAGCTTGGTTTCCTTTTGTCAGTCTCAGTAGAGAGGCTATGGCAGGTTTATTGTTCCCGCTCCAAAGTAAGTTGCACGCTTTGGGCTTGTATAGGCATATTGGTAGTGGACCTATGTACCGAAGTTGATGTCGTTACTTGCATTTCAGTAGTGTATAGAGTTTCCAACTGGACCCAAGGCTCAGCTTTCCAAGGTGGTGTACAGAGATATAAAAAGATGGTCCCTGCCTAAGTAGTGTAAATAGAAAGATAAAAGCCTACTGAAGGGTGGGGAGTACTATACAGACAAGCACACAGAAAGGAGCCGAGTGATGACAGGCTGAATGCATGAGAGTTCCAAAGCAATTTGGTTTCCTTTTTATTATGACTTCTGTAACAAAACTGCCACCAACTGAACTAAAACTGCCACTAGCTGGACTAAGGATTTTCTGCGAAAGCCCATGTCATGTAATTCCCAGTCAGTCTTCACCCAGTTTAAGAAAAGAGAAATGTAAATGCTGCTCGTTTGAGTTCCCAGAGTTCTCGATCTGCTGGAGAATTCCAGGAGATCACTATTTTAATCTAACTCATCCAGGCACTGTTAAAGCCTTCATTATAATTTTAGCGCAACTTGCTGCACCCAAGTGCTTGCTATCTGAAGTAATTATATCGCTGTGTGAATAATTCCTGAGGTAACACAGGCGGAAAGGAATGACTGAGCAGGCAAATTCCCGATCGTTCCTTTTTTACATCCTGCCTTGGAGGGCTGAGTGAAGAATGCTGAGGTCTTCACCTTGAAAATTTGGACCCATAATGTGAATCTCTTATTTCCATAACTGAGCAGTTATTGGTAAGAATGTTTCAATGAGATTAGTAGACTTTTTTTGTGACTAATTACCTAGTCAATGGGAATAGAAGAGAATGATCTTAGTGTAGATGGTTCTACCAGCCATCACTACTACCATAGGTTTTGAATTGCGAAAATGGCAATTTAGTCCCGTATCTTGGTTGTAACAGACCCACCTCAAGCACGCATAAGACCTTTCATTTGTTGGTATTAGACTGTTACGGCAAGGTTGTTTCTTTTTGAACATCTGGGGGCTGTAGCCTCCAAACCAATAAACCTGACAAGCTTCCTCTGAGACAGATGCAGATGTAGTGCTTATTCACAGACAGATGGAATTCAGCCCCGAACAAACCCACCGTACCAACTGAGTGTTAAGTTTTTTAAATAGGATATAAATATGGCTTAAACTCAGTGGACCATGTGGTACACAGGACGCTTTGTAAAGTTCTACTAATGTTCATTTGCTCTAGGCAGGAAGACAGAAACATGGGTAAGGGGGAGAGTGCAAATGGGAGAAGAGGGGACAGATCAAGAGGTAAAGGATCAGTGATTCAAAGATGGATTTGGAGTCTAGAAAGCCTAAAAGCAACAAGGAGCAAGACGCCTGTGTTTTCCTCTTACTGATGGACGTGAAGACAGGGATGTTAACCTCTCTTTTAATTGTAACCTTTCTACTGTCTATGCACATAAAGCTACAGTACATTCTAAGAACACCTTAGCACCATTGACTCTCTGAGACTATTGCATTTGAACTTGAGATAAAATTACAGATGCTTTTTACGTAGCATGACTTAGCATGTTAGTTGCTCTAGTGAATATGCTGTAGTGAGCCTCCCAAACGTATTTTAAGGATGAATTCAAAACACTGACTGTAAACAGCCTGCATCCACCATCTGTTTTCTTGCTTGCAGTAGGGAAGTTCGTAGGGCCAAGACTGAGGGTATAGAATTACCTACAAATTGAGGGTACTGCTAAAGAAAAGAGAAGAAACGTGTTCAGACTGTAGGGATAGACTACAAGCAATGAACTTGTGAAGAAGTCAGGTTCTCAAGTTTCTCCTTCATAGAAATAGCACTACATTTGTAGGAAAACAGCAGCTAGGAACATGATCTGGCTAGATAATATCACTTTGCTGGGAATCCTATCAGTTTTTCAGATCAAATCAAGGTTAATGGCCCAAAAATCTTGTCTGAGGGGCATGCGTGGTTGTCACTCCCTTGGTGCACAGAAGGGATTGAAGAGAGCAACAGAAGCCGAGATAAGCCTGTGCAAATGCAGTGGCTGCCAGGGTTGATAGAAGCTGGATTTAACCATTGTTGCTTTACAGTGACGTTGCCTGTGTCATTTCTTAGTTGACGTGAACAAAAACATTTAAAATTTTACTGTAAGATGAAATGCGCAAGGGACTGCTTCCTCTGTGGCATGGAAAATAGAACATTAAGTATGAAAGTTGCCTAAAACCCCTTTGCAGTAATGACTGGACAAAGAAAATAAAATGCAGCTTATCTGCGCTGTTATCTGTGCACTTAAAACTACATGGAGCTCAGAAGGTTCATAGCCTTTGGGAGCAGAGGCATAGACCGAAATGTGTTGCCCAACTCTGATGTAGTGGGAGGCCACTTACGTCCCTCTGCTGGTTGGAATTTGATCTGCACACGTGTATGCATAGGTACATGCAGGAAGAGTGTACGCTGTCAAGCAGTAAACTTGTCTGTAGAGGAGGGGACTCCTAAATGCTGATAATAAGGGCCTAGCTCCCTGGTTTCTAAATGCTGATAATAAGGGCCTAGCTCATAGAAGCAGAAGAACCTGGTTTCATTCCTAACCGACAGTAAAGTCGGTGTGGCTAATGGAAGCGTGACAGTGTCCATCCTTTTTACAGGAGGAAAGTGAATTGCTCTTTTGAACCCTTATACTGGGGAGTAGCTTTTCAGGAGATTATGATTCTTTTACGAATAACAAGACGTATAAGCTGTGTACAGCTGAGCTGATGAAGCACAGTCACCTTAGGTCAAGCTGGTTTCATTCTAGCTGTAGATGTTCAGTGCTATTGAACACCTGTTTCAAAATACCTGTGCAGAGCAGGCCGGATGTTGGTCGTTAGGAAGTGAACAGTGGAATTGTTCCCAGTAATGTTTAAGGGGGAAATAGATATGACAGAGTAGATGTTAAAGACGTTCTTGAAAAGCGTTAAGCACATCCTGCCTTAAAAGCCTTCAGTTCTTGTAGGCTCTCAACTCTGAAGGACCAGCTAGATGCCAATACAGCTGTGTTTTTGCTATGTGTGTGACATTGCACGATACCAAGTGTCTGCGGAGGTTTCAGTATAGCAGTCAGCTATCACGGCTGTCTGCACTGTGAAGTATTATCTGTTGTTCACAGGGTGGGTGTTACAGGGGATGGAGCATGTGAGCTGGAGCCTTTCAGAGACAACCTATGATGGGCTCACTGTGTTTGAGAGTATGTAAATAATGGTTGCTTGTCTTTGTCTCCAAGGCACTCTCTTTCTATGGGTGTTCTGGCCAAGCTTCAATTCTGTACTAGCTGTGGAGAAGAAGAATACTATAATCTACAACACCTACTTTGCACTTGCAGTAAGTGCTGTAACTGCCTTCGCCTTGTCTGTTCTGACCACGAAAGATGGAAAACTCAGAATGGTAAGACGTGAGAGAAAATCATGGGGAAACTATGTTTTTTGATTACTCATGGAATACACTGGAAGTATGATAGCTGTTAAGTAAAAATAAAGCCAAGTCTTTGGCCTGACAGCAATCATAAGTCTCCCAAACAGAACACTGAAATTGTAACTTAGAAATTATGTACTCAAAGATTGTAATTCACAGGATACAGAGGCCCAAATTCACACTAAGAAGATCCTACTTGCATGGGAATAGCACTCTATGATGTTGGGCTGCAATAAGACAAGCAAGGATTGACTTCTCGCTCTGTGTTTTTGTTGTGTTATTTTACAGACCGATATCTGCAATGCAACGCTAGCCGGTGGGGTTGCTGTTGGCTATACAGCACACAGCATTCCGTATCCTTGGATTGCAATGATTTTGGGTCTGCTTGCCAGTGTGATCACCATATTGGGATCTCACCGTTTACAGGTAACGCTCAAAATTTGAAGTTCCTTTTTGTATAAGATAAATAAGTTTCTTTTCCAATGTAAGATGCTTCAAGGGAGATCTTTCTTTTGAAGAGATTAGACCTAGGAAACCTGAAGTCTTTTGACCAGAGTGTGAGATTGCAGGTTGGGAGGCCAGAGTTCTTCTTCTGAGATTGACAATGTGCTATCATCAGTAGACTTGTGTTTCTATGTATTAATTGAACTTTTTCCTCTTCACAGAGATGTTTGAATCCTGTTCCCAAGGTTCACGATGGAGTTTATTACACTTTTGGCTTGCCTGGTGTGCTGGGAGCTCTTGCCCATGTCATTCTCCTTGTAATAAAAAGCTGGACTGATTTACCAAGGTACATCAGTGCTTGCTATTAAGTAATAAACTCATTTAATCATTAATGTAGTGTGCCCTGAGAAGAGTTCTCATATATACAGAAAGTCCTGCCTACATAAAGAGAGCCTGAAAGTCATCAGAGAGCAATCCTTTTATACCAGATAAGTCCAAAAAAGTCAGTAAAAACACTTTTGAGTTGAGCAGACTTTAAATCAAACTTTTACTATTAGCTTTTGGTGCTGTTTTCTCTCTGCCTTTTTGTTTGATATTAAACGCAGCAGACATAGGATGCAAAGTTTGGGGATGTGTGCATTCTTTCAGAGAGTCATTTTGGCTTTTGTGACATGTTTAGGGGGCTTGTATGCAGTGGGGGCGTGGGGAAATATAGAGACAAAATTTTAAATTTCTGAACAGCGTATCTGACAAATGCTTCCTCTTCACTGAAAGCCGAAGCTGAAAAGGGCTGCAGCTCTGATGAATTTCAGGGAGAGTTTTGTGCACTCAGCATCTCCCTCTGGATGAGGCTTTATGAGTCAGGGGCAAGAATGCCAATCTGGGCATTACACCTCAGGTCATATTCTTATGGAAATACACAAACTTAATGAAGTTTTGCTACCACAGTGATGGTAGGAAAGGGAAAAATGTATCCTTTGAAGTCTGTATTAGACTACCAGTAAGATCCCTTGAAAGTTTTAAATGCAGCTGTATAGAGATTCAAGAATAACAGAATTTTTATATGAGGTTTTGATGTAAAATGCTATATAGATGCGCCACTGGAGGCAGACTCATTCACAGTCTTATTGCTAAATTCAGCAACTTTCTCCTTTTCAGCCAGGCATATCTGATCATGATTGACTTTAGCACCTTCTGCCTGACCATCAGTGTGGCCTTGATGTCAGGTTTTATTACAGGTCAGTATGGAAAAACATGTTTCAATAGTATCGTCTTCGTTTTCTCGGGGGCAGGGGATATGTCATCCTATTTATTTCACCTGCTGCCATGCACCCTTCGCAAAAGAAACCAGTGTAATTAGGGCACTAAAGTAAATGGCTTGTTTATGTAGAGAAACTGGGAAACAGGAATGACAAGAACTCTTCAGTGCCAGGCTTTGAAGAAGAGATGTATTCAACATAAGCAAACTAGTAGCACCGTTCTTTCATTTGTGAAGATTATTTTTAACAGTTGCTTAACAGCAGCCTTCAGATTTCAGACAGGAGATGTGGGAGGATGAAAATATTTTTATATTTGGGTATTGTCTTAATGACAGAAAATGCTATCTAGAGTATTTTCCACTTTTGAGGCCAGTTGGTATGAATCTGAAAAGTTCAACTAACGTCAGTAGCTCGCTCACGTCAGTCAGGCACTAGGCCTTTTATTGCTAGTTGTTGGGGATCATCAGGGCTCATGTGTCCCTCATGTGATATTTGGTCTGTTTTAAGGCAGCTACAGTTTTTCTGTAGCTATTAATTCTAGCTTGATTAAAGGAGAAATGGCAGGTGAAAATTGCTGTGAAATGCACTCTAAAATGAATTGTCGTGTTTCAATTGATCTGCGACCTTTGCACTAGCTCAAGTATAATTAAGAGGGTGAGCTAACCAAGCAAGCTTTTAAGGTATTTACCTCAGTGGCCTGAAAGGAAAAAAAAAATAAACTCAGCTAAAAATAACCAAATATTCAAGGTTGAACCAGTTGTTTGATAAGCTAGATATTTCCATCTGAAATCACAAGTTAACAATACTTATAAGCCTGTTTTCTTGCATGAAAAATACCTGTGTATTCAAAGAAGTTAATGATTTTGGGGGTACATTTAGAATGTGGCGGGCTGTTTAATGAACTTTTACCTAGAGTTAATTTTTAGTAATCCAGGCCTTGATCCTGGCAAGTTTCTCTGTACTTGAGGTCAGCTTGAGTCAAGGGGCTATGCTGAAGCATTTAGCGGTGAGTTTGTATTTTGATCTCTGTTATATTTCAATGTGTGATGCTAAGAAAACTCCAGTTACACAGTCTTCTCCTTCCCCTGATCCGTATGGGTATGTGTGTTAGTTATATGTATTTTTACAAATAGGTCCCATTTTAAATCTCAACTTGTTGAAGACCGTCCCTGTATCGAAGTACTATGAAGACCAGTTTTACTGGGAGGTAAGTTTCAACGTAAAATTAACTATGTAGGAGTCTAAATAACACCAAGCAAGAAGTGCTGACTGACTGTGATAAAGAACTCTAGGTATTTGAATTTAAAAAAAAAAAAAAAAGAATAATTTCATTTCACAGTCAGTTTTGAATGTCTTGGTTGAAATGGATCAGCTGCTCAGAACTTGTCTATTTTGAGTGTACGTAGACTTCAGCTAGAATTGTCAGAGCCGTTCTTGGGCACGGGGCTAAATCTGAAATCATCTTGTTTGTTGTAGCATTGAATCATATGGACTCTCACGTCCTCAGGGATTGACAGCTTTGGTCTCCATGCTCCATATGCAATCCCTGAGGAGACTTGGGTATCTAAAACAGGGATTTTTAGAAGCTAGCAAATGGTATAGTAGAAGGTGCTAAAGTTCTCCTTTGCCTCTCTCTTTCATAAGATGGATTTGATGCATAAAATATTCTGATAAAAAACTATTTTTTATCTTCACAGTTTCCTCATTTGGCTGTTGGATTTTGAATGAAGGAACCCAAATTACAGATTTGCCTAAGAGTTTCCTGTTTGTCACTATAGAAAATGAGTAACTATGATGGGGTGAAAAAGCACTTCTGTATCAGTTCTCAGGTTCAAAAAAGACATCCCAATGGATGCGCAAAAATAGTAATCAGCTGTCTTAGTTACTATTAAAAGACACTGAGTGTAAATTTACAGATGCAAACTTATAATGCATTCCACTTTTCTGCTTCGATGGTCTAGCCCTGAATATTTTCTTTTGTAGGATGCGTACAAGCAAGTTGGCTGCATTCACTTCCATAATGGCTTGACAATCAAAATGCTTTTGAACTGTAAAGAAGAAAACTGTATTTAGCTTCCAAGTTTAACAGCCAAAATATGTATTTTAAAGTACAGTTCTCCAGGGTGTATGTACTGGTTCTGATCTAGTTAAGCATTAAACCACTTGGTTTTAAGCTAAATTAATTCCACTGAAGGCCACGTTAAGCATGGACTTGACAAGTGAGCTGGATCAGGGCCGGAACTCTGCATCTCACCTGACTGAACTCCTGAGTTTTCTAAGTGGTTAGGGAAAATCTATAAGTAGTTGGCTAAGGCTACCTGTTTGAAAATTCAAATGGCAAGAAGTTAGTGTTCTGCTTGTAGGTGGTGCCCCTGAAATCAGCGGCAGCACTGGTATGTGAGATTCAGTAGCAAAGGTAAGAACAGTCTCTTTAATTAAAGAGTGGTGGCAGGCTGCACTGCCCCATGATCAGCTTTCCGAAAGGCTCTGGCCTGCTGTAGGTGTATGGATAGGGACAACAGTCATCTCTCCAGACTGGAGAGACTGAGGGAGCGGTCCTTACTCAAGTAATCCTATTGACTTAAATGGAGCTAGTCACGTGATGACAGATTTCAGTGGATTGTGCCCAATTTTGTGTAATAGGAACCAGTGTTAAGACCCAATTTCGGAAGTATGTTATGCTGCGTTATTTTGAAATTTCTTTTAGTATTTTAATGAAGTGCTTTGTTTTTTAAACATTTTAAGGACCAACGTATAACATTTCTATACCGTAGATTTTCATTTAAAAATTTGGTAATAGAGCATAGGCTTCTATTCTGATAGTGGGAGAATGGTCAACTTGGGAAAAAGTTATCTCAAAAAGCATCTATTTAACGCTGCCAGTGAGATGATATTAAAGGTCTTGGCTTTGATTTAAATGAAACACAGCAGATATCTGCTTGTAGAGAACTCAGACTGGGACAAGCATGGGTCTTTGGTGCATTAGTTAAGGCCTGTTCTTGCAGAGGATTCTGTGCAACTGAACCCTTGTTTTTAAGTGGAACTCCCTGTAGGACTGTGGTTCTCGGTGCTTCTTTTCAAAACAGCTGACACAAAAATGTTGTCAAAATGCTTACGTAATAAAAAAGTCAAGATTCGATTGTTTTTATTTATTGAGCACACTTGCTTAAAAATGAAGTTATGAGAAACATGTAATACTGACGATAAAGGATAAATACTTTGATGCTCGCTACAGTAATGCATGCTGACCTCAGTTCATTGGGGATTAAGAAAAGGAGATGGTTGCTTGCAACCCTTCTCACACTTCCATTAACTGTAATGAAGAGTTTCTTGCCAAGGAGATGCCATAGTTCCATTATGTCAACAGCTGATACCGTGACATTGAGCCTGTATACACATTTGTATGTTTGCATTATCTCACACCTAACATGCTACTAACGTTGTAATGTTCAAATCCAGGTTCAAATGGTGTACTTCAGTTTCTTGCTTTCTAGTAACCAAATGAACACAACTTCTGTAACACAAATTGCTTCTGATGACTTCTAGCAGTGGTGCTGCTTTTAAGGAATAGTATTTTATTCCTTCTCTTTCCCCCACTCTGTCGCATCTCTTTTGTCAGCACTTTCTTAAGCAACTAGCCCCCTCAATACACATATAGGAAGAGGTAGATAACATATGCACTTGAACTGTGAGATACAGGAAGAGCTGCAGGATCAAAATTCTCCCTGATCATGACTGTCCCTGCTCTAGCTATCATCTGAAGGAGCATCAGTCCCTTGTTTTGCAGGGGTTAAAACAGAGTTTAGAACAAATTTTGTGAAGGGGCTACTTCCATCTAGCGCAGGTACGTAATTCGTATTTGTGCCTCTACAACATCATCCACAGCAACAGAAAGTTGAACTGTCCAGAGACTTCCGCAATATCACCACAGGCCAAAGAAAATATTCAAGGGGAAAAAGCAGCATAATTCCATGTTATGCAAGAAAAGCCACACACAGGTAAATTTTGAAATTGAAGTGTTTAGTGTCCAGATATAGGAAATATTTAATAAATAAATGTTAAAAAGTTGTTTTAAAGTATTTTTAGTAACAGTTTGGGATTGCAAATAACATCATAGAAATAGCTGGTTAAATACAACCTTTCTCTACTGTACTACTTACTTGTAGCAAACTTCATAATCATAAAAGTGACTTCCATTGTTACTTGTATCAATTTTACATTTGTCAAAAACATTACAACATTTAAATCAACATACAAGAGTAAAAAAAAAAGTATTTTAAACAGAATAGAAGCAGAATTGTTAGCACTGTGATTTAAATTTTCCTGTTTTTATCTTTAGACACAATTGAAGGTTACTGTTTACAAAACAAGTTTTACAAAATTTTGGGCGTGTGCAGTTAAAAAAATGACAGGGCCAATGCGCTTCCACAGCTGTGTTCACTGCCACAAATCTTCCGTGCGACCAAATTTGAAGACCAGTCCTCTGTTTAAAACAGAACAAAGAGACATATGTACATAAGGGAGCAGACTAAACACCTAATGTTTTAGATATACGATCTCAGGGAGCAAGTTGCAGTACTTGTAAATCTGCGTCCTGATTCTGCAACCTATGTAGACTGAACCCAGGGCATTACTGACTCTACCCGCAGTCTGTCCACACATATCTAGTTACAAAATAGGGCTTAAGGAAAATCAATTATAGTAAGTTTCAGTTTTAATTGTTAAAAATAAATTTACATGAGAAATGAACAAGGGAAAACAGGCTTACCCAAAAAAGATGAATGCATTCTGGAAAAACACAGCTATTCCTGGGTATACTACTGCTTTTTCTAAAAAAAAAAAAAAAAAAATCCCATCAGTTTTTCAGAATTCCTTTTTCTCTTCAAGACTAGCCTGTCTCTGATATTCAGAAACACTAAATTGTATTATATTAGCAAAGATACAAGTTTCACTTAAAAAGAATACTTGGAAAGGACTTGCGTGTTGTTAAGCAGTTGCGCAGAAATGAATTTGATAGGAAATCATATTGTAATTGACCCCTCTAATAGATACAGAGATGAAGTGACAATTGCAAATTGTTGCAAACTAAAAATAATTGAAAGCTATAATGAGGGAAAATAAAAACTATAAAACTGTAATGTTTCAGGTACTTGTGTAGATGCTAGGAAAATACATTTGCAAAAATGGTAAAAAATATTCTAAAATTCAGTATTTGTTAAATGAGCAAGGTTCCGCACCTAATCCAACAATTTTTTAGTACTGGCGCTGCTACATAACAAATCTGCCTAACCTGGATTGTTCTTTCTTGGAACTGGATAACATTATGTGTCTGGTATTTGGCTTTTATCCTCAAAAGATGGACCCCCCCCCCCCCCCCAAATCTCTATTGGTCCATGGTCCCAACTGGTGTGAAACAGAAGACTAAGCATAAGGCTAACCCACACTGGAAAGTTAATTCAATACCTTTTGCACACACACCCCTATGCAGTTAGCTTTCCAACTCTAAAACGGATGTAGGGGCTATTTCACAAGAGGAAGCTTCTCCTGCACTCTAACCTAAAACGTACATTTCAAATGCAGTGATCTCAGAGAGTGTAATTATCCTGAGGGATTGCACATCCTGTACAGGGCACATGGGTGCATGTATAAATATATGCATATATATTTATATATAATGACAACATACAAAATGTGAGTGCGCTTTAGTAGCACAACTATGCAAGTAACACACCTAGATTTCCTTGAAAATTCCCCGTGAACTGAGTAATGCAGAAGCTGAAAAGAATGAATGTACATTAACTCAAATCATTTTTATTCTAGGATTAAGTGTTTACACAGGGAATTATTCCCATAAACTTCAGCAGTTTAAGAACACAACTCTGGGCCACATGGGAAACGGCAGTGATATGATTAATGAGGCTGATTAACAGCCTTTTTCTATAGAAAGCAGACTAACAATAACCTTCTTAAGGAATAGAAATTTCGCTAATAGTACATAGTATGGAATAGGGGCGCTCAGGGAACCAAAATATTAAAAATGGGCCTTCCCAGAAACAATCTGAAACCAAGTTCTAAAGTTCAACAGACATTTAAAATACTTTGAAGTAAATTATCAAAAATGCGTCAGGTCACGTTCCGTATCGCGTCTTACCTTTGACAACATAGCCTCCAAAAAGGATCCACATGGAAGCGATCAGAGATCCAAAAGCCATCATAAAACCGATGAATAGCCAAATCCGTGCACCTTAAAAAAAGACATTTTGTGTATGGATGTTTTGTGCCCGTGTCCGAGTACAGATACTTGTAACTTTCAACATGCTTTTGTTTCAGAGGCTTTATAATTTGCAATTTTTTAAAAATCACCTTACCTGTTTGTCCTAGACAGCCTTCACTGTAACTGTCACCCCGAACTTGTCCGTTAGACACTGCATTGATCCTGTTTAAGCAAAACAAGATCAAACTAGGTAGCACTGGTGAAACAAGATGTAAACATTTATAAGCAACAGGAGAAACTTCTCAGAAACCCATATAAAACGGGTGGTGCTTTCTTTCTTACAAATGTTTTGTAGTTTTTTTTTTTAAAGGGGGACACGGGTAAAACTTGAAAAAGTCATTTCTCCCGATACAAACTAATAAAACTTGGATCTGTACAACACACCCTTAACTTTTTTAAATGGTTCCTTCCTATAAATATAAAAAATAGGATAGATATTAGAGATGCTTTAGATACTAACTTGATTTTTTATTCTTTGTTACCTCTCACTTTAAAGTCTATGTGTTCTTTTATTAATTGCACAGATTAAGTTCTAGGAGTGCGTAGCTCTGATCAAGAAATTACACTTACATTAGGAATGCAATAGTGGCTATAACCCCACAAGCATGGTACGAATGGTTGAATTCTTCCGCTTCAGGGTATTTTACAGCCGCATCTATGATTATCCACCAACCTGTAAAAAACTATTTAAAAAACCACAGGAGCTTAAAATACAGACATAACCCTTTTTATCAGTATACGAGTACCCTACCAAAAATAACATTAATATATAAAACCATTGTTATAGTCCAGTCTAGATTCAACTAAGGCACAACCAGGTTTGCTATCAACTTCATTAGGAACAATAGTAAACGCAAAGCCAGCGAGATACCTCCTGAGAGTTAGTGCACGTTATACAGGTAAAAGCTGAGAAAGTTCCTAGTGCGTCTTTAAAACGTCTCTACAGAAAACATTATAGAACAGCTAAGATTGTTCTTTTGAAGAGCTAACCTCGTTTGGGAAAGCATTCTTTGGATGCAAAGGCCTAGCTAGGCGTAGGCTCTAACTCTGCTGCTACGTACACTGCCAATATACCCCCCCCTTCTTCCTTTTGCTTCCAAACGCCTAATTTTCAGCTCACTGGCAGTTAACTCCATGCAAAAAAGCCCCAGTAGGCTACGAAAGCGGCTGTACGCACTAGCACTCCTGCAGCAACAGAAGCGATCGTGTTCCGTTTTTCTCCCCAGTCCACGCACTCCGAGCACCTCAAGCTCTCAAGAAAGCCAGACATTTTTCAGCTCTCCGAAGAACTGGAAAAGAAAAATAGGAGCCTTTATTTCAAAGAGGAAATTTATCACGCATCAACTGGAGGCGGTGAGCCTCCACTGCAACGATACCGCACAGCGCCTGGCCGCCAACACCCCCCGGAAGGCCCCGGCGAGGCGGCGGCCGCAGAGCT